TAGTACAGTGTTTGGGGAAGGGGATATTCTATACAAACTGATAATGTCTTGATATGATCATTCCATAGGCAGATTCACACAAAGCAACAAGTCAGTCTTTCTTATTGATGAACACACATTAAACTACTGTAGTTCTGTGAGAGGCAGAAAGGGCAGAGAAACAGTTGGATGCGGAGGCACTTTGAGGCTAAGTGCATGAGTGCAGCTCTCAATCACAGCCTCATTGTTTACATTTGCGTAGGAACAGTTATCCTGCATGCATCCTCAGTCGTTATTTACATGTGAAGTAGCAGCTGGGATCGGAGCAGCCGAGGGCAGTTTGAAAGAGAATAATCTGACATACCTGAAGTGTCAGATTCTTCTCCTATTTCTCCTGCCTGTAAATCTGCAATATGTTAATAAAGCATTGCCCAGAGGGGGAAATACTGCATATAAAAAAATGGAATACTGCATTTACAATTAAAAAGAAAATGTTTGGTGGTGACATGACCTCTAAAGTGTACATGCAGTCCTAGAAATAAATTGTACCTTGTAAAGTAGGTGAGTAGTGAAGATGCATGCTGTGCTTAGTTTAATTATTAAAGTGACACTAAACTCAGGAGTTAAAACTTAAAAATGCAATCAAGTACATTAATTATTAACAAAAATGTATCTTATTTGTGTATTACTCAGCTGTAGATCCTCAAATCATCTCTGAATTGGTGCTGACAATGTCCTTCCTTCTGGAGGGTGGCTACTTTTGTTCCAAAGTAGTGACCGCTCCAAGCTCACTCCTTTGATGGACTACAATCTCTCTTAAACTAACTGTGAAAATGTAGTCTATCACAGGAGTTAGCTTGGAGCGGTGGCCACTTTACAACACGCACAGGGAACAAAAGTTGCCACCCCCGGAAAGAAGGACAGTGTCAGCTCCGAGGAGATGATTTGAGGAGCTACAGCTGAGTGATACACAAATAAGATTTCATTTTTGTTCTAAGTTGGGTTACTTGAATGCAATTTTAAGATCTAAGTCTTGTTCTAAAACAAATGTTCTATTTAAGGGTATTATAATACTAACATTATTTTTTCATAACACATATAGCAATATTTTTTTAAATATGAAATGTATAAGAAACAAATACTGTATTTATATTTTCATGTGTGTGTGTGCAAGAATATGAACTGATGAGGAATGGATATGAGAATAGGTTTAGGGAATTAAGTCACTTCCAGGCCTCTGATGCTTTTAAATACAGATGTTCTTAGCCATTCAGGTTGAATGGTGGCATCATTCAACCCACTTTCTTTCCCAGGCTGTCATGGATCAGAGAAGCAACACAGTGATGAGCTCACTTTGCTTTATCCTGCTGTCAGTATACTTCTTGTAAGCACATGAATTTCTGCTTCTCCCTCTTACACTTGAGCTCTGTGACTAAGGCTGACACCGAATAAAATCTAGGTATTTACACTACTACCTTTAATAATATACAGTATTAATGAATACACAAATGTCTAGGGCATAACAAAATATTCAGGTTTTCATTATTTAAAATAATACCTTCCACCTAAACATTATTTGACTATATCTTTATTGCATGTGCTGGGCAATGGAGCCTAGAATTTCATGAAGACATCACTCTGAAATAGGATATAAAGGAGTGCTGTCCCAAATCATTCAGATCTTAGGAAAATAGCTGTGATATATAACGCTGTCCAATTACAATTTGCCCCTGTGATAAGCAAGTGCCAGGATATTATCTTCTTTTTCTCCATGTAGACATAAACATGCAATCTCTGGTGACTCACTGTACAAGTTTCTACACCTTTCTAAAAAAAAAGGTGGTCATACCTTCCAATGACATGCAGATGTGTTCCTGAGAACAATGGGAGGGAAGACATCTGCCTGTCATCAAGGTGCTTCAGAAGGTAAAGATGAAAAAAAAAATGAGGAAAAGTAATGTGACAGATAAAAATTGGAAATGAGCAATACAGAAACTAAAAGGTTTTTCCTTCTCAATGTGAACCAGCTTTTAAACATAACATGTAGTTTATAAAAACGGTTTTGAGGCAACTTCAGCTCCTTACACTGTTCATCCTTTATAATTATGATGCATCTTAGGTTTGAAAACTGCTTAATGTTAGTATAGATTTCAAAGTTTGATGGTACTTAATACTACTGTATACACAGCAAAATAATAAAATACAGTATTGTTATTTCTTTTCTCTTTTTTTATATAAGCAAAAAAAAGGAAATCACAAATGGGATGTCTGTAATTTAAACCAATTGTGGCCTGTGTTGCCTGCAGAGTGTTAAAAAAAATAATATAATAACCCATTTGAAGGAGAGGTATTGGGAGAGTATAATGTACTCTTCCCAATACTTTGAGCTGGCAGTGACACTGCAGCTGTCATACATCAGCTCCATAACCGCTGATCATTCAGCTCACGGTTTCTGCTAGTCATCACTCCCAGCAGGGATTCTCCCCACCCCTCTCTCTGTACTCCAGCGCTCATTGAAGGACAGATGTGGAGGGTGCAGGCATAGCTGGCTCTGTCTGTCAATCAGGCAGCGGGGTGGATTCCAACAATATTGCCAGGATCTTTCCTGGCTGCAGCACGGCTCTGCGCTGTTAGCAAATAGAGGGCAGAAGTCGCATTCAATAAATTCCTTTATTTTTTTAACCTGCACTTTTCATTTCCGTCTGGTTTCTTGGTTTCCTGACATAAATGTACTCCTCCGAACCAAAAGAGAACTAAAGCCAATAAAAAGATTTGGCTATAATAATCTTTTAATACAAAACAATCTATAACTGCTTTAAATAATAAGACTTTTTCTGATCTCTGTGGCCCTATTTTTCAAAATATATGGGATAATGCTTCACCTATTGTGATATGCAAAAAATAAATCAGAAATAATTTCTGTTCCCCTAGTGAGTGACCGTGGAGGTGGCACAGAGCTTATATGCAGTGTGTAATAAATGGAATAATAAAGTCCTATTCATAAAATAGACAGTTACTACTAGAGAAGAACAAAAATGTAATATCACACCCACCCATCCAACATGCTATAAGCCTATGATATGTAATCAAAGGCTTCTAACACCCTGCCCAAATAAATGTCTTTTAACTAGACATGTGCACTGCCAAAAAATTTGTTTCGTTTCGTTTAGTTTTAAATTCGGATTTGTGTTATTTCGTTTTTCGGGATTCGGGTGTGAAAGTCAATTCGGATTCGGAATTCGGATTCGGACGAAATTCAGTAGCGTTCGCACGAACGTTCGTTTCGTATTCTGTTCTTATTCGTTTCTTATTCGTTTCTTATTCGTTTCGTTCGTTTGCAGCAAAAGTGACATTTGAGGGGGAAAAAATATTTTTCTCCTTCTCTAATGTCACTTTGCTCCAACGAACAAAACGAATAAGAAACGAATAAGAAACGAATAAGAACAGAAAACGAAACGAACGTTCGTGCGAACGCTACCGAATTTCGGAAATGGAAATTCGGATTCGTTTGCATTCGTTATGTCTGTAATTCGGAATTCGGACACATCCGAATGTCTGAATTTACGAAAATTCTTCCGAATTTCGATTCGGAACGAAACGAATCGCACATGTCTACTTTAAACAAATGCCTTCTCGTAAGTGTGAATGACAACTGACAAATTGATGACTTATTACCATGTCCTCTTATCACATTTTCAACATCTATTCAGTGAGCTGTATTTACTCTAAAGCTCATTGATAGGAACATTAATTCATAAAAATTAATTTTCAAATGACTTTTCAATCAATGCATAATAAACATGAGGACATGATTATGACCATGTTGTCAGCCACGCAGCCCAAGAAAAAAAAATAAAAAATAATAATTGTATGCCTTTTACCTTTTTTTCCACTATTTTTTAATGTTGTTGTTGTTTGAGGTTTTTTAGATAATACGAAAATTTCAATTAAAAAAATTGAAAGATAACATGTGTCCAGTGTTGCTATAACCCTATTTGTTTTGCTATTGTCTAAACAAAATCAAATGAACAAAATGCACCAAACACAAAAAAACAAAACAAATAATGTTATCTTATTTGAACATTTTTAAATGACATCATGTTAAATTATAATCCCATAAAGTCTGGCTAATTAGTTGGGTTATTTTCTCTTTTTTGTGGTATTTTCTTGCTTTTTATGTTTTGTAGACAATGGGAATAAAAAGCATCTGAATAGCAACTCGAGGTGCAAATCTTTATACAAAAAAACTACTACCAAAACATACTTAGCTTCCGTTATAGCTGGTTCACAATTTTCTTATCAAACAGGATTCTGGGCATTAAGTAATCACAGGAAAATGGGTTCTCCATCTTGGCAATCTCCTTCTCTCTTGTATTGAAGCTTTTAGTGCTGTTCCATTGTAAAATCCTTTGATAGAATACTGCTTTTAGCTTTGAAACTGGCCTTTTTATCTTGGAAAGTTTGTAGCCATTCCTTCATAGGCGTAGCCTTTTCTACTTTTGTCCTACATCAAGTTCTATGAAGGAATCATTTCTGCCTGCAAACTCTAGATGGCAGCACAGTACCATAGATGCCATAGATCCGCTATGTCAAAAGGTCAAACTATTGCTGCTTTATTGACAAAGCTGCTATAAAGTTTGGGTGCATTGTTTGAAACAATGGGAACAGCTGAAATTCTGTACTTTCTCTGCAAATGGTTTTTATGAACCAATACTTATCTTCCCATTATTTTAAATAACAGCATGTTCTCTAAGAAAAAGGTGTCTGTCTCAAAATCAGATGTCTATATATATTGTAAAGGAAAGAGGGAAACTTTGGTCAGCATTTATTTAATACGTTTTGCTTATACCACAATGTCCAAAAATTAGCTAGATTCATTAGTTTGTGGAATTCATTGATGTTAAAGAGCTCCAGATTAAACCGTTTGAGCCATTTGGATATCATTTCTGTAATTCATAGAAAATGCTGTGCAGAAGAGTAACAAAAAAACATGCTGTCAAATTATAAAATGTTTATCTCACCTTGACAATTCCTCTTATGTGCATTTTTGCAATCATCTCTGCAGTATAAAGAAACATCAATAGTGTATCAAGGGCAATCGTCACATACTGAAGGGGAGGATAATGCTCAAAGGTCTTCGGGGTGTTCATACAAACGGAAATGACACTGATAATTGCACAGATGCGTAGTAATGAGTGCACCCACTGAAAGAAAAGAACATTTTATTATACATTTTCTTACAGCAAGCACGGCTGTATGACAAGCATAATTAACACTGCATATACATACTTATGTGCACAGAATTACTTAAAACTAGGAATCTTTTCAGCATGTGCCCAGCTGTTATGAAATTGGCAGTGGAACTAAATTACAAAAATAAATACAGGTTATAAAAAAGTAATTTATTCAAAATATCTGACAGATGTGAGTTTCTTACATGTAGCAGATGTGAATTTCACACGGATTTAACCTATATCATCTTTGCAATTTCAACGCTTAAAAGCTGACTTTCACCTGTGCATCATGTCTTCGGTAGCTTACATAATTTTGTATGGTACATAAAAATGTTATGTTACATTTAAAGTACACTAGTCATGTAATACATTGCCTGTCATAGCTGACAGAAAAAAAGCTTGCAGCAAGTGTTAAAACCCCCGACCTACATACTAATTCCAAATGAAAGTATTGACATATTGTTTAAGAATCAGCAAATGGCAGCCTATATATTTATCTCATGTCATATGTCTTATAATTAAACCATTAATGCTGACACTTTTAGAATTAGTTTTTTCACAGGTCATACATGATAACAGACTGTACCATATATGGGATATGATATGCCACAAAACCTGACAGATATCTGCTGTCATAATACTTTCCTTTCTACTAACAAAGAGATACATAGAGGCACAGTATGGTGCCAAATAGAGACATATTGCCTATGACTACTAAAGTATTGACCAAACACTGCATCTTAATAGAAGATTTGACTTGCCAACAATCTAGTAGCTCTGGATACATTTTTAGGTATCACTCTTGGTTCACTCTTGTGAACAACAAATAAAAAAAATGCTGCTTCAAAATATCTCCAGCCTTTGATGATTAATAGCATTTAAGATTGAAAATTCAACTTTTGTTGACATGCATGGTCCTAAAGCCGGGGTCTCAAACTCAATTACCTTGGGGGCCACTAGACAATTTTTTTTCTCCCATGGGGGCCGCTCGACAAATTTCAAGCTTTAAAATAAAATGTAACTATATTTGGTATGGTACTACGGTCCCCAATACACACACAATAAGGCCCCATTCATATCTGTAGGTTTAGGTGCGATTAGGGATTCCTGCGTCAAAAACTTGCGTTTTCCTGCAGCGGGAATCCCTAATCTGGCGTTTACAAGCGGCCGCTGTCACCCATTAAAGTTAATGATCAGGTGGCAGCAGTTGCATGTAAACTCCTGCACACCGCATGTAATGATATGTGATATTATTACATGCGGTTAGAAAACACTCTCCCTGAATGCACAATCATTGCGTCCAGGGAGAGTGAGCTGACAGCACCGCAGCGCCAATCACAGGCACGGAGACATTTCCCAATCTCGTTGCCGTTACTTTGAGACAACTGTGCTAAAGCAAACCTATCAAGAGAGAAATACGGGGGTTCCATTGCTGACCTTTTTCTGAAAATACTGGTTAACTGAATTCTAAGACTAAATTGTATGCAGAACAAAAGTCAGAGAGCTTACTCATTCCAGCACATTGACTAAAAGATACTGAAGCAAGAAGGGCAACACGACAGCTATGTAAGGGGGGTCTGTCAATCTCTCAATCTTTACTGTATACAAAACTAAAACATGATTTTTGTACTCACTAGACCAGACATTATCTACTGAGAATCTACCTGTTAGTTCCATATCCTGTGAAAGAGCACTACAGATTTCACTAGAATATTAAGATCCAATCAGGACTTCTGTCGCTGCCACAAAACTCCTCGTGTCCCCTTGATTAATTATGTAAACCACAACTGTTACAGTGTTCGAATTAACCTGGACTAGTAGACTGGTCAGATGGGGGGTCCGTGAAAAGACGACAGATAAATTGCTCATACTCTAGGATGCTGATTGGAAATTGCAATTCTTCCATAGTTCAACAACCCTGAACAAACAGAAGGTTCAGCTTTAGAAGATTAAATCTGAGAAGAGAACAAAAAAACCTGCCCCCTGACATTGTCGGGAACAGAAGTCACGATGACAAAGGCACTTTCGTTAGAGGATGTAACTGGACCATCTTAAAGGAAAGGTCAGCTACCATAGGAATGCTCAAACCATTTTTAAGGTGAGGTGCAGGTGGGTCAACTGCAGGAGGAGTAGACTATTCCATACCAAAAGAACCACTTAAAGATAAGGAATCACCTATCAGGGTGTTTCCAATCTTTGTAGATAAAATCATCTAAAAGGGGATGATGAGGAAACATTGACAAAACCTTGGGTCAATGATAACCAAGCCCTGCTGCTGAGTTGGGGAAAGGAACGGAGGAATCGAGTAAAGTGGAACATACAGCCTTGAGTAGAAAGGAAATGATTTCCTTCTGTTTAGGTAAAACAACTGCTAACTGAAATTCAGCTGGTAGAATCTTATTTTGTAGGGAAGAGAGTGATTAAGTGTCTGACAAATCCTCCTTAGAATCTCTGACTGAACTAGAAAATAAGCATCTCCTAGTCAGACTCTGGTGGAGAAGGCAGTGGTGGCATTTTAAACCCCTGAAATCAGGTGGAGCCACAAGTTGGACCAACTGCGGCAGAAGACAGAACAGAAATAAATACCTCCACAGTAAGAAAGGAAGAGGAATAAGACTTAAA